AATCATAGAATCATAAAGGTTGGAAGGGACCCCCTGCCCTAGCAGAGTCCTTATTCCATGCAGGACAAATGATTGTCTCATCTTTTCTTGAAAGCCTCCAGAGAGATGGAGCAGATTATCAGGGCCTGGTAGAACTGGATTGGCTGTTGGTGACCCCTCATTCCTTATTTGGTATCCCCTTTGACCCCCCTAGATGGTCATGGACAAATCTCAAGTTGCCTTGTAACCATTCAAAGAACGATGGGCTTGGTGAACGGGTTGGGATGAGAACCCACCCAGGATGATGGGTACACGGGATTGTGTATAGGGAGTCAGGATTAAGAGGAAAATCTGGACAGTTACTCCTCTTTAGAAGAGGTCTCAAAACCTATTTGTTTACCCAGCCCTTTTAATTAGCTTTAACTCTTTTAATATGCATCGTTTTTATACAGTGTACTGTTTTTATTAAGTAATGTTTACGGTTTGCTTTAAAACACTCTTTGGCTTTAATTGTATTTCTTGAGTGCTCGGAGCCATTAAGGCATCATGCAAATTCTTTAAATAAATAAAGAGTTCCTTCAGTACACAAACACTGCCACAAGCAGGAAGGAAATAAGACATCTGTAATTACAGGTAAGGAAGGCCCTGTGAAGGTTAGAGTAGGGTAGATAATGGGGGCCTCTCTAGATAAGAGTTTGAACATATGGGGACTGAGCAACATAGCTCTAGATTACAATACCCATCTACAATGGCTAGAAAGCATAAGCAACGAAGAGAGGTATTGGATATTGGGCAGTCCAACATTAGTTGAAGTGCCCACAGATTTAATTAAAGCTGATGGAGATGACCATGGAAGATTTAATTCTCAACATGACTGAGATTCCAGGAATGCCAACTTCAATAAATAACTAGATGTCTCTTTGAAGATAAAGAACAGGTGGGTTCCAGGAAAAGATCTGCACTCAGGATATCCAACCCGGGCAACTTTTAAGACTTGTGGACTTCAATTCTCAGAATTTCCAGCCTTCCCAAAATTCTGGGAGTTGAAATCCACAAGTCTTAAAAGTTGCCAAGGTTGGACACCTCTGACCTACACAGAAAGATGTTGGGCGTTTGGGTTGAGGGCCTTCTCCTCAAGTAGTCACTGATTCCTTGGAATTCAGAAGCATCTCTGTTTTAATTCAAATAAGCAACTGCTAAGAGATAACAACTGAAGCATGCTTCTTTGCCACACAGTGCTATAATTTTTAATTAAATTGCCTTTATAGCGCAACTTCAGTCAGTTTCAGTCTCCAAACAAACCCACCAGACCTTCCATTATTCCACCGACTTCAATTCCTCAAGGAAGTTTCTAAAGTACTTTTTCTTATTTCCAAAATGGATTTAGCACACACGCATACACATGCATACACACACCCACACACACAAACACACATATCCACACAAAGAGAGAGGACGCACCATCTTGAGAAAACTGACAATCTCAGTTTCCTGGTTTTCTTTAATGGGAATTGTGATGCTAGCTAGCACACAGCGGAATTTAAACACGCCCTGTTTTCAAGCCTACGCTCCGTGCACATGTTTAAACCATATCTGTATTCATAGTTTAAAAGAAAAAAAAAACCACACACAAACAAACCAAATAATTAGCAACAGGGAGCCGCTAAGGAAGAAACAACAGATCTTGACCAGGTTAATTGTCTTCCACGTGTCGCTGCACGTAAGAATACACAACAGGATACGTCCAATGCTTGGAGGGAAAGTTATAATTACCTGTTTCTGATGCACTGTAAGGGAACTCACCCCCCCCCCCAATTGCCTGCAAAGATATAAAATCCCATCTGGGCAGCCAAGCCCAGGTGGATTTAGAAGGAGATAGCCTATCCCAGAGGTATGTTTAGACTATTAAAAGGAAGGGGTGTAGAAAAGATGGGGTCTTATTGGAGAAGCCCCCCTCCCTCCTCAAAGAGGTGGGATAACCTTTCCAGGGGAAAATCAATTTTGTTTCAAGAGGAGCTGTTATTTTAAACCTGCGTTTGACATACTTTCTGATTATACTGCTTCCTGCAATGCTCTTAAATCAACGATTTTACAACCACTCTCCCTACCCCGAAGAATCCTGCTACTTACTGAGTTGAAGGCCAGCAGCCCACCCTCCATGTTGACTAACCAACATCACACCTCTCGGAGAAAAACAAAACAACACAGGACACTGGGAAGACAGGTTGGGTTAATGCATACAATTCAGGGCTATTTTATGGACACAAAAGTTAGCCAGAGTCTGGTCAAGGCAAAGGACGCGCAGCTGAGGCAGAGCTTCCCGGGAGATGCTGTCCTCGGACACTTGATTTATCCCAGGATTTGCCTTGGAAGAAAAGCTAAAGAAATGGTACAGATGACGAATGGAGATGCAGGGACAACTTTAAATGGGAGGGAGGGAAGAAGCTATTACCGTAAAGGTGCCCATCCATATTTTATGGCTTCAACTTAGACTGTCTAAAGGGGGGAAACGGGGATGGCTTAAGCCTTCGTAGAGATCTATTTTAGGTTGACTCTTGCAAATAATTCCTTGGGGGTCCAGTCACCCTTGGCCAATAAAGAACTCTATGATTCTATGATAATAGCAGTGCCTGCACGCCCAAATGCCCATTTCAGCTGGAAAGGGAGAAAGACTCCTTAAAGGGTAGTTTTACAGGTTACCTGATATTATAGAACAACTGTCCCAGTCAAGAGGAGGGATCGAGCAGGGAATTCGCCTGGATTCCTCAGCAGTTAAAAACGCTGAGCTTGGAGAGCTGATGGCCCGGCTTTGAGACCCAAGCTCGGCACAACAGGATGGGCTCCTGTTTTTGCATGCAAATGTGAGTAGTTAAATAGCTACCACTTTGGTGGGAAGGTAACAGCATGTAGAGCTGTGGTGGCACAGTGGTTAGAATGCAGCATTGCAGGCTAATTCTGCCAATTGCTAGCAGTTCAATCCTGACCAGCTCAAGGTTGACTCAGCCTTCCATCGTTCTGAGGTTGGTAAAATGAGGACTCAGATTGTTGGGGGCAATAAGCTGTAAACTGCTTAGAGGGCGCTGTAAAGCACTGTGAAGCAGTATATAAGTCTAAGTGCTATTGCTACTGCCTTTCCTTCCTTTCCTTCCTTCCTTCCCTCCCTCCCTCTCTCTCTCTCTCTTTCTTCCTTCCCTCCCTTCCTCCCTCCCTGTGGTTAGAATGCAGCATTGCAGGCTAATTCTGCCAATTGCTAGCAGTTCGATCCTGACTGGCTCAAGGTTGACTCAGCCTTCCATCCTTCCGAGGTCAGTAAAACGAGGAGCCAGATTCTTGGGGGCAATATAGGCTGACTCTGTAAACCACTTAGAGGGCTATAAAGCAACGTGAAGTGGTTTAGAAGTCTACATGCGATTGCTATTTTCCTTCCTTCCTTCCTTCCTTCCTTCCTTCCTTCCTTCCTTCCTTCCTTCCTTCGAAACTGTGAACTCTAGATGTTGCCAACATGAGCGCACTTTGCACATCCCTCTTTGTGTTCTTAATGTTTCACACTGAGCCAAATGTGTTGCAATGAAAGGAACATTAAAGGTGCTATGTTTATTGGCATTCACCTTCACCAAGCCTATATTTAGCATTGTGGTGGTTCTCTCAAAGCAACGGTCGTAAATTCAGACCAGAGGGTAAGCTGGGCCAGTGGAGAGGCTGTTTGCCAAGAGATGACAACGTCAAAATACACAGACGGATTAACTAGCCAGAGACCTGCCTCTAAATCCTGGTCTGTGCCTTCCTTTAAGCCAGGACTCTGTCCCCACACTGAAGAAAGAAGACATCTTCGTTGGACTGAGCCACAGAGATACAGGAAAGCCGGCAGTCACATTGTGTGAACGTCTCATTCTGCATTTTGCGGTGAAGAAGTCTTGAGTCACAATTTAGATGTAACTGAGAACATCCAAGCTGCCTCTCAAACTTAAATTAAGACATTTGAGGAATGTCTTAATTTATTCCTCTGGGTATTCTCCTCTTCTCTGTCCTGGGGTGCACTTTGGAAATAGTGAGACTTGGGGGCTGAAATCCCACCCCTTAATCAATCTCCCTTTCTCTTTCAAAATGCAGCAGCTAATAATGGCTGGATATTGTGCTGCTTAGCCCACAACAGCTGCTACCTGGAACCAAATTAAGAGGGTGGTGTTTTGTTTTGTTTTTGAATTATTCGCTTTTTGAAGTGTTTTGGAAGAATGCACTGGCCGTGATGGGGCGGCGTGGGAAGACGAAACGGGGAAGTCGAGGCTGAAACTCGGAGGACCGGCAACAGAGTCAGCTTATTGGAAGATTTCTATTCTCTCCGAAAATAGATTTATTGAGCTGCATTTGAGCTACTTTAAGAAACATGGGACGGATTAACCAACTAAGCAAGGAAAGAAGCAAGCAAAAAAAAAAAAAAAAAGGTGATGATGTGGTGGCATATTATAGAAAAAGGAAAATTGTAATGTTTCTACAGGTGTCCTTGACTTTGTGCCTCACTGTTGCTCAGATTTAAGAGGTTCTAAGAGTCTAAGATTCATTGAGGATGAAAATGAAAGAAGGGTTAGGGTAAAAGGGCTCAAGTTGGGTCAGGGTTGGATCCCTTTGGAGTCCGGGCTGAAAAATGATGTGAGGGCTACATTCTAGGAAGTTCTCAAATGAAAGAGAACAAAATAGCGCCCTAATCATCTTTGTTGCTCTTCTCTGCACTCTTTCTAGAGTCTCAACATCTTTTTTACTTCGTGGTGACCAAAACTGGATGCCGTATTCCAAGTGTGGCCTTACCAAGGCCTTGTAAAGTGGTATTAACCCTTCACGTGATCTTGATTCTATCCCTCTGTTAATGCAGCCTAGCACTGTGTTGGCTTTTTTGGCAGCTGCAGCACTAAACAAACTGTTGAAAATGGAGGACAACCTGTACTAAATTTCTTCCAAAAATGATGTCCAAAGCTGAAGGTTCCCGTTCAATAGAAAAACACTCCAATGTTTTTGCCCTCAATTACCTCCATTTCGGTGCAGTGGGCCTCCGCCTTCTGCACCATCTCCTCGGCTTCTCGCACGCGGAAGGTAAGTTGCGGCGAGTGCTCCGACGGATTGAGCTCGCTGTCGTAGAATTCCAGAATGGACCTCATTCCATCGCGGGCCTGGGGAAATAAGGGAGGGAGGCAGGGAGGGAAGAAGGAAGGAGAAAGCTGTTAATTTTCATTGAATGCAACCTGGAGGACACGCTGGTGACAGAAGGGACGGTTCCATTCTTCCATTCTGCACAGTTTTCCCGCTGTTTTATTTCCACATCTTTCAAATCGGACTGCATGTTGACTATGATAAAAAAAGAAAGAAAGAAGTGATACGTTTATTTTTTAATTTAAGAAAATTCGCATGGCTGCCACGTTCTTTCTCAGTGACTCTGAGCGGCTTACAGGGTGGGAATGCCCCTGTATTGCCCTCCAACTTCGGAGAAGTGCTCCATGATCTGAACTCCCTCTTTCCACTGATGGCCATCTGAATTACTGAGACCAAATCTAGTGGGCCTTTGCTAAGCTAACATCCTGAAATGCTTCTCCTGGAAGTCGCAGAAGCCAGACTGGGGGAGCTGCTAAGGCCTTCCGCTTATTCCACTGCCTCTCTCCAAGAAATGGCTGATGGGCGGGTAGCACTTCAGAAACTGTGGGTTTAGGTTGAACAGATCCCCGCTTTTCCATCTGGATTCCAAGCAGACTTCACACTTGGCTGTCAAAGCCTCAAGTGCTTCCTAATTGTTTATCGGAGGAGGAGGAGGAGGAGGAGGAGGAGGAGGAGGAGGAGGAGGAGGAGGAGGAGGCTATAAATTCAGGGTAGTCTGAAAAGCCAGTTGAGAGTGTCTACATTAGGAGATGTTCAACACTCTTTCACTAGAGCAAGGTTGGATAGGAAAGGATGGTGGTGGCCGAAGAGATTAGATAGCCATTTGTCTGAAATGGTGTAGGGTCTCCTGCTTGAGCAGGGGGTTGGACTAGAAGACCTCCAAAGTCCCTTCCAACTCTGTTGATCTGTTAGTTAAAGAGAGATCCAATCTGGAATTAAGGAGACATTTTCTGACAGTGAGGACAATCAACCAGTGGGACAACTGGCCTTCAGAAGTTGTGGGTGCTCCATCACTGGAGGCTTTCAAGAAAAGGCATGACAGCCATTTGTCTCAAATGGTCTAGGGTCTCCTGCTTGAGCAGGGCAGTTGGGCAAGTAGACCCCCGAGGTCCCTTCCGACTCTGTTATTCTCTAGACATCAAACAGCATTTGGGCTAAAAACAGATCCATCAATAACAATTAACACAACCTGCCCAGGATATCTAATATGAGAGACTCACTGTGCATTAATTGGTTTGTGTTTTCTACTGAAAAGAAGAATACATTAACATTCATCAATAGGTCTACTCTTGACTTCTTATTTCAGTGACACACTGACACTTCCAGATTGTTCTCTCTTTGCAAAAGAGGAGCCAAAAACAACAGAAAACATACCAAACAAAGTCTACATTTGTGTATTACTTGGGTATTTACTCATGCAGTTCATTTGGGCTTTCCTAGCATATTGTCCCTTATGCTGGTTTGCCTTCAATTTCTTCCACAATCCAGATTATTTGACAGTGAGTGTCTAATTAGTTGTTGCCCACAAAAATCAATGGAAACAAAATTAAAGTTACAAATCTAACTAAAGTCAATCAGATATCTGTGGGGAAAACTTGTTCCAGGGAGAAAGTTTATATAGTGTCATAATTTTATTGAAATCCTATATCTTCCTATTGACTTTTATTGTTTCAAGCGAGACGCCAGAATTATCATTATTAAAGTCTTAGTCTTCCTTGCGGGTCAAAAAAGGGACCCTTCCTTTTATAAACAAGCTGTAATTGTCTGCTTTATTGACCAATAAATCTCTAAACTCACTCACTTTTGCCCGGTTCTATTATATTATGCCTTTTGCACTATTTTTTGAGTGAAAATACAGCTCTTCCCCATTTTTATTTATTTATTTATTTAGAGAGATGCTTTTGTCATTGATGGCAAAAGAGAGGGAACGTAGACTGGTCTGCTTTCATAATAACTTTTTAATGACAAATTCTAGTCAAAGTTAAATTTGCTCTATTTCCACCCGAGTGAATTTCAGCTATTAATTCAAAAAACAAACATACAGCTCATTCATTATTATTATTTTTTTTGACATTAGCTAAAGCGCCGTCTTGGAAAACACAACTGTGATTATATTTTCAACCAAGTGTTGAAACTACAGCACGGAAGCAGTTTTGCTCCTGAAACTGAATTTATACTTTGATTAACTGGCAGCGATTTAAGGAGAATATATCATCTCGTTATTGGAAAATTTAAGGGGCAGGAAATCCTCGCCCCTGGTGAGTTAGGAGATTTACCTGAATAAGAAATATTTTTTAGCAAAGCATCTGTATTTTTAACTTGCGCATAAAACCGCTTTAAGAAAAATTAGTGCAATGTATCTTGATATTTCTGGATGCCAGTTGCAAAGAATGGGAAACATTTAACTTAATCTGTAGAACCGTCAGCAGCCTCTGAAAGCACCGAATGCAAGCAAAACCGTGTTTCTTCTGAAGAAGGCAACGTTTAATTTCGGGTAAAAATTTGTTTGATAATTAACATTTTTACAAGATTGTTTTTGTGACCTCCACGCATCAAAAGTGCTGCAAAATTCTTTCATCACGCAAAGCAAAGTTTTGACGTTTATGTTCTTTGTTTCTGCAAATGCAAAAAGGGTTCCATAGGAAATTCTTCAAGTATTTCTTTTATTATCAAATTTTAGGCAACTGTGAAGCTGGGGAGAATGGGGGGGGGGGAAATTGGCACTGATTAATTCATCATTACAGGTAGTCCTGACTTACGACCATTTTTCACACTTACGACCGTTGCAGCATCCATTCATGGTCACGTGATCAAAATTCAGAGGCTTGGCAACTGGCATGTACTTCTGACGGTTGCAAGATCCCGGGGGTCACGTGATCCCCCTTTGCCACCTTCTGACAAGCAAAGTCAATGGGGAAGCCGGATTCACTTAACAAACATATTACTGACTTAACATCTGCAGTGATTCACTCAACAACTGTGGCAAGAGAGGTCGTAAAATGGGGCAAAACTGGCTGAACAAATGTCTCATTTAGCAACAGGAATGTTGGGCTCAACATTCTGAGATTTTAAGTAGCGGACCATCGATGGCAAAAGGCAGCTTTCCTGGGAACAGCTGACATCCCGTGAGGAGACCTTGAACACCATCAAACCTCCATGTCTGCCTATCCCAGGTCCTTGGGAAGGACTCGATAGGTGGATCAAAATGCCAAATCTACTCTAAACATCTGGCTGGCTGTGTGACAAACCATAATAATAGCAATTGAACACCATCGGCATTGACAAAATCCCCATTGGTCAATTGCAAAAGGCAGCTTTCCTGGCAGACGTGGATGTTTGATGGCTTTCATGCCTAAAGTGGGACTAGAACTCACCGTCTCCTGGTGATTGGCCCAAAGTCACCCAGCCGGCTTTCATGACTAGAACTAGAACTCACCATTTCCCACTAGACCAAACTGGCTTTCATTTGGCACCTGGATGTGACAGTCATGCATATATGACTTTGCTGATGAACATACACAATCCATGACCAAACATGCGTAAGACCAGCTATCGCAACTGGGCGCCAAAGAGTGCAGAGTTAACCAGGCAGATAAAGATTTTAATTGTATCTAATGTCCAAGTAATACTTCAATTATGCCTAGACACTACTAGACCAGTTACCAATTGTTAGGAGAGAAAAGAACTTGGGTAATTATCACGAATTTGTATGGCTGGCTTGTGTTTTCCGTGACAATAAAGATCAGTCAAGTGTTTAGCTCCAAAAATGCTCAGCCGGAAAACCAGCCAGGTACCTTTTAACGTTGAAAAGAGCATTTACTGACAATGGAACCAATGGCCATCCCCACTTTATGTTTAAAGGCCGCTGAAGTGTAGCTTCATTAAGCACCTCGCAAAAACCAGCAAAGCTGAAAAGTAAAGGAGAATCTGTTTCCATTAGAACAATACTGGTTTGATGTGTGGGGTTTTTTCCCTCCCTTTCTTTCTTCTTGCATGAAAAATACAAAACCTTTACGTGGGGCAACTGCAAGATGTGTTTTAATTAAAAACATAATACAAAAGTCATGAATAAATGATCCAGGGGAGGGAACCTTCTATTCTTTGGCGCGGTAATGAAAATTCCGAAAGAATCAACTGCTTTGTTTGTTCCTCTCCTCCCCCCCCCCAAATCTTTGCAAATTCAAACGCAATAAGGTGTTGCGGAATGTCAAACACACACAAAGAGACACACAAAACCGGCAATAACTCTACAGTACTTGGTGGGTCTACCTGATTTGCCATAAACCAGGGTGAGTGAATCAAGTATATTGTGTTCAGATGTGCTTATGAATATGCATCCACACGGCCTCTTCTCTGCCTCCATAGTTAGTGGGGAGAGTCGAGATAATTCACACCACGGTTTTCGAAAAGAAGACACCAGCAGGGCACTTTATAGCAATGAAGATGTCTTGTTAATGGACTGAAATGCCTTCTGGATCATTATTTAGTCCTACAGCCTGCACGAGGAGGAGGAGGAGGAGGAGGAGGAGGAGGAGGAGGAGGAGGAGGAGGAGGAGGAGAAGATGGTCCTTGATGTAGTCCAAGGTTGGCTGTTTTGTTGCAGACCTTTCATGATCCAACTAGGAAACATCATCAGTGCTAGAAGGAGGCGGGGTTTGCAGAGGAGGAGGAAGAGGAAGATAAGGAATTTCCATCAAATAACCGTGGGGAATGCTACAATGCTCATAAGTGTGAAAAATGGTGGCACAGCAGTTAGAGTGCAGTACTGCAGGCCACTTTAGCTGACTGTGTTCAGCAGGTCAGCGGTTCAAATCTCACCAGCTCAAGGTTGACTCAGCCTTCCATCCTTCCGAGGGATGGGGGCAGATTGTTGGGGGCAATGTAAATATATATATATACATTGCTTACTGGTGTACACCGCTTAGAGAGTGCTTGCACTTAAAGCGGTATATAAGTCTCATAAATAAATAAATAAGTCACTGATAAAAATTCAGACACTTAGCAACTGACTCAAATTTAT